GTCAAATAAGAAGCATTAAAATTGAAACGAATAAATGATATTAAACGAAAAACATAAAAATCAAGATGTGGTTGCTCTTTTGAAGCTACACACACAGAGATTGCTAGAAAATTCTGATTAAATTCTTAGATTCTTCATTACTTTACACAATAAAGCCCAAAGACGCGATACACGTTTGATATGTCTTCTCGTGTATAGACAAATATTGTAGTGAGTGCAGTTTTCTAATCTTACAAGCAGGTAGGAAAAGTGTATGATCGCAAAAATCTAATTTGAAGAATGTTTATTCATATTCATAACTAGGAGAGAACCTTGCCAGAATGTTAGCCATAGGCTGAGAACATTCCCTGTTAGCTGCAACCCTTTAAGATGAACTGTGATTTATAAAGTGGGATGCATTTAGGAAAATGTGCATATACGTTCATGTCTTTGTAAGGCTGAACTCATCTTGATTTTCACTGGATGGAGCAGTGGGTCAGAACCGCAGCTTTGGCGACTCCAGCAGCCACCCAAACGAAACCCCATCCTTCTGCAGCTAACAAGTTGGTTAATAACCCTGCTGCCAATCCGGCTTCCACCGCTGGAGCTGCAGGGAACAGCAACGGTAAGAGCGCGGGTGCAAATCCAGATCCAAGGCCAAGCAAATACATGGTCAGCATAAACAGCATTTTTTTATTGTAGTATGCAGAATGTTTCTTCTGTGCTCCTTCACTCAGTCTCCTCTGCTCCTCTTCTTGGATCCAGATGTCCAGGTCGTTCATTTCTTTCTCTTCTTTTTCCATTCTTTCAATCTCCTTCTTCATCTCTCTTTCCACCAGTGTTCTCAGGTTCTCCTGCTCCATCCTCAAAGATGCTCTGAACCGTTGCAAATTCTGCTCTGCCTTCTTTATCTCCATCTGGATCTGACCAATCCTGCCTTGTATAAATTTCCTTTTTTGTTCAGTTTCTTGCCTCTCTTGATTCATGGCAGCAATGAACTCAGCCCTCCTAAGATCAGCCATTTTCTTCACATCCTCCTTTATTTTCCTCGTTCTTTCAGCCGTTTCTGCTTGCATTCTCTCTTCTATTATCTTCTGGGCTGTTTGCATTGCCTCTGTGACTTCATTAGTGAAGTGACGGTTCTCATTCATGACCAGAAGCTCATGCACTTTCTTCAGGAGTCGACTCACTTGTTCTGGGTTTGTAGGGTTTGTGTTGTCAAAGGCCACGAAACGCCTTCCAAATCTCTTCACGAGGTCTTGAACTTTTTGATTTTGTCTCGAAACGAACCTTTCAATGGATTCTTCTCTGAGCTTGTCGGCGTGTGAGAATATCAGGATGCTGTGATTGCTGATGTCTTTATTAAACATCTCCAGAATCATTTCTACGGTGCGCTGCTGCTCCTCTGTATATCGCTCTATCGGTATAACTAACAGAAACGCATGAGGACCAGGAGAACACAAGGCCAGGCAATGAATGACCTCCTGTCGCAGTTCTTCAGTTGTCAGATCGGTGTCAAAAAACCCAGGTGTGTCCACAAGAACGAGCTTTCGTCCTTCCACCGCTCCACACGCTCTCTTGCACTCTTTAGTGACTGAACTCATGCTCACTTCAGCATTAAAGCATCTGTTTCCCAGGATGCTGTTTCCCGTTGCACTTTTCCCCGCACCGGTTCTTCCCAGCAGAACCAGACGCAGCTCATTCAGAGCTGGATTTACTGCGAGCGGATCGCTGCCAGGTGAACCTTGTGTAATCGTGCTGGGAGGAATCTGAGTTTGAGAGGGAGAACAAACATTTTGTGTGGCTCTGTTTCCCTCGTTTGAGCTTCTGTTGGACCACTGCTTGTGGTGACTTGCTCCTGAGGAAAAAAGTGTTTGTTAATTCAAAGCTGCAGGGAACATTTACACTGATAATTATTAGTTATATTCTTACGGTTTTTCTGGTCATCCCAGACATGTTTACAGGGATTCTGCAGGTCTTAAAAATTATTAAATTGCACTTCCACAAACAAAGGCCTTAAAAATCTTAAATCAGAGCAGATTGTCTTAAATTCACAAAGTCAGGGCATAAAATGTTGCTTGCATTGCAAAAAAAAAAAAAAATATTCCTCAGTATTTTTCCTCATTACAAATATCTAAACATCCATACATAAAGATACGCACTTGAGACTACATTTTTGAAAAATGTAACCAATTAAATGAGTTAATGCTTAAAACAAGAACAAATGTTTGTAAATGGGGTAAGAAAACTTGTTTTCCTTTTGAATTAAATGTATTTTTCTGAGCCCATTGGCAGATATTTGTTCTTGTTTTAATCATAAACTCACTCCATTTTAATCAGTTTCTCAGAAAACAAGATTTCTTGTTTAATGTCATCTTGCTTTTCAAGCAAATGTATCTTGAATCAAGGATCTTTAGTCATTTTCACTGGAAAACAAGACAAAAATTCTGTGGAAGAACAGCACTTTTTGCAGTATAATCAGAAGGTACAGTAAAAATTATTTCCATATATTTGCTATTTTTGGAGATCTAAAAAGTAATGGAGATCTGTAAACTTTGAAGTGCTGCTAATATAAGACATTCATATTTAGAGACCATATTGACATATTGTGCTCCCTTCAATTCATTCCAGAAATTGCCTTTACTTGGTCTTAAGTCTTAAATTTACCTTCATCAAACCTGCATTCAGTAACGTAAGGAGAATGAAATGATGCACTCATTAGTTGAGAAATTTACCACTGTAAACCATGACTAATCTAAGACTAATCTAACACAAGACTAATACTGAGACCCAGACCGAGCCACAAAAGTGGTCTAGGTGATCTGTTGTGCTCAGACTAACTTCTTATTTTTTTTGTTTACTGTGTAAGATGCATATATTTAACTTAAAATTATCTACGTGTTCTTTTCATCAAGGCTTTAAAAAAACATATCTTGAATTATGACCAAATGCAAGAATAACATAAACAGCATGTTTAATGAAATGCAAACATCTAATAACTAAATCATACTTTAATGATTAAATACATGCACTAGTTACAGTACCTTGGTTGGACATGTCGTGTAGTTTGGTTTCTCAGTTCGGCTCGCTGGGAGTTTGTGACGCGTTTGTAAAGATGTGGGACTGTTTTATTGTGAGAGGCAGGACTTTAGCAGAAATTAAACTGGACACAACCTCAAACGATGATGCAACAGATGAGATTGGTGCTTAGTGTCTACAATGAAAAATAAATGCATTTACATTTATTTATAGACAGGTACGGGTTTATTTATAACTTAAATTACATGTGGTCCTTCAATAAAAATAAAATTAAAACTAAAAGCAGATAAAAACAAAACAGAGTTTACAAATGAAGTAATATCTTTATTGAATAATAGGGGGAAAAGGTATGAGAAATTACTATGCAAGAGAAAGAAGTATATGATGTCATGATAATTGGAAAGGTTTGGATTGTAAACAGACCAACACTGTCCAAAAATCATAAAACAAGTAATTATGTCAGGAAGGTGTGGGAAAAGTACAGTACTTAAATGCCAAACCAAGAAAACTGCGGGTACAAAAAAGCTTCTTATTGCATTTAAGCAGATCATAGAAACAAACACAAAGCTTGAAGTGCAATTTTAAAGTTTCTGGAGAAAGTGCTGGAGATATTTCAATAATGTTTGTATTATGTCCCTCTTGTTTACCTTAGTTTTAAAATATATTATGTTTAAGACCTTTGGACACAATAAATACATATTAAATATTGATGCAATGACAGGAGCAGTAGTGCGTGACTGTTCGGTGAAACCTCTCCAGTTATGTGTTTAGTTTTTCATGTGAACATGTTCCTAAAACACTTTGTCTCTGAAATGTAAACATTGTAAAGCTAAAAGTCTATGATTAACTCACCTCATAAACACACACAGACTGCAGAAATAGACATCCTTGCTTTCCACTGACATCCATACATCAAAGAGCATGGTGTTTTCAGATTTGTTGCATTCTAATTTCAGTGTCCATTTTGCACTGGAAAAGAACACTCACTGCACATTTTAAAATAAACTAATATATTAACATAAGAAAAAGATTTCAGTAACAGTTACAGTTAGTAGCCTACATGTTCTATGATGGGTTGAAACAGGGCTGTCTCAAAAAAAAAGAAAGAAAGAAATGGTCAAAGACACCCATTTAATGCATGATCACATAAGAAAACAACTTTTACTCAATTGTTTGTATGTTATGCGATTATGCACTCAATCCAGCGCTGTTTGTTCTCTGTTAAGTATCAAGAGAATCGCTTCAGATGATTCAGTGAGTCAGCGATCCGAACGAACGCGAATCGATTCAGTGAATCGTTCGGTCAGTTCACCGAATAGAAAGAATGTGTCAGAAAATCTTATTATGAGGTTTTTAATAAAAAAAAATCTGTAGAATCATGGTGAATTGATGGTATAATACCACTGTACTTTGATATATATCGCTGAAAATCCTCCGGTTACCTTGTTTGTTTACATTTTCATAAAGTCACTTTTTAATTCAGCTCTAATTTGATTTTGACTACCAACTTTTATAGTCCATTTTACAGATTTACACTGCTTTGTTTACACTTAGTTACACATATGATAGTCCTATATGCATTTAAACACCAATTTAAAAAACAATAACGTGGAAAACACTTGGCCTACTTCATAATGTACTTCCTAATGTTAATATACAATGTGATATAATAATTAATAATTAGCCTATTTTTATTAACTATGCTACATTGCACAATAAAATCCAGAGACTAGCCTATGCCTTCTTTATTTAGGCTAGATAAACCATTTTAATGCATACAATTCAGTAATAGAACAGTGTAACTACACTAAACAACTAAACAACCCACTGTTACATTTCATGCAATCAGGAGGAAATTATATAAAAGCCATATATTCATGTTTTAATTAGGGTGATTATGCAATGATGCTGTAAACCATATATTAAAGAATTTTAATATGCTCTTTTGATGATTTTTTAAAGATAGACCAGGCGACGGCTTGCCATTATTAAAAAGAAGCCAAAAACGGAGAGATAATTAGCCTAATTGTGGAGAGCGAGAGAAGGGTGGAATAAAAATGAAAGATAATCCAATGAATGCTCCTTAGATGAGCAAAGAACAGGTTGTAAGAGACTGTATCAAAAGTCTGATTTTGGTGAACCTGCAACTTGACTGATCTTTGCAAATAAGAGAAGACCTTTTTTTCCACAACACCTGCAGTGAATGTTAATTAAATTGTGTCCTTGGAAATTAAAAATATCAGATTTTTCCATCTTTTTTTTCTATTCTCAAGGATTCAGAGGAAAAGCTGAGATTCAAGTCAGAATCAGAATCAGAATCAGAATCAGAAAGATGCTTGCGCATACAAGGAATTTGTTTTAGTGACATAAGCTTCCAGTACACAGAGACAACAACACTTCACAGACAATAAGATGAGAATAATAAAAAAAAAATAATACACATATGTAAATATAAATTGTAGCGAATCAGCTCATGGGGAAATATGTTAATAATTAATCATAACTAGTTAATATCCGCTGTAGATATTTACTTGACCTCTCAGGGTCAACTGTCTGTCAATTCTAAGAACTTTAATTTCCTGGTTAAGGGAAATAACTTTCTTACTGTACAATTCTACAAAAGCTTGTAGCATAAATCTGCATGATTAAGTGACTCCAGTTATGAGCAAACAATGAACAACGTCAAGTGTGATACAAGTAAGGTTTTATTAACTACATAAACACTTAAACTAGTCTAACATACACGTACACACATACACACACACACACACACACATGCATACAGTTGGTATAGGAAAGGGTTAAAGCTTAACTCAGTAAAGAGGAGAGAAAATAAGAATATGAAGTTATGGAACCATTTGCACATTCAGCAGATCCACAGCCATGTGGAAAATGTGCAGGCCTAATTTGTGCATTTATTTATTGTTCACAGTTTGTTACTGAATTTAACAGACTATTATTTATGCTGTCTGGAATTTAGACCTGTGAAACATTTACCCCACTATATTTTTATGGTTGCAATAAAACAAACAAACTAAATAAATAAAAACTAAATTCACATAAAACACAGAACAGCATGATTTACTAACATCTTTGTATATGATGGTGGAATATTTAAGAAATGTCTGTTTGAGAGAAAGGAAAAATGCAGTCATTTATGGACCAGTGTTTCTGATGAAGAAGGGTTCGAGGAAACTGGAAATGTTTGGATGGAAAACCGAGACGCCCCAGTCCAAAAAGAATAAAACATGTTCAAATGTCAGAAAGATGTAGAAAAATTATAATGTCAAACTTGTTAGTACAGCAACATGGTTTTTATTGCACTGAAGCAGGAGATCAAAGACATTACTTACTGTACATAAATCTGAAAGTGCAATTTCAAAGTTCAGGTAAATAAAATAAATGTTTCTGGGGGAAGTGCTGGAGTATCTGTGCTTATAGTTGAACATAATTCAATAAAGTAGAGAATAAAACAGCAATTTACACATGCAGATATCCCATGAAACCACATAACAACAGTCAAATAAAATGATTAAATTATAAATATAAAAATGTTTAGCCCAGGGCTATTTTAGCATCAATATATTCGTTTTTATTAAAGGGGTCATATGATGCGATTTCAAGTTGTCCTTTCTCTTTGGAGTGTTACAAGCTGATTGTGCATAGATAAGATCCCTGAAGTTGCAAAGACTAAAGTCTCAAAACCAAAGAGATATTCTTTATCAAAGTTAAGACTCTGCCACGCCCCCTAAAACGCCTCGTTCTAACACGCCCCCACATATCTACCTCACTATGTGGAAATATTAGCATAATGCCGCTCAAATGTGCACGCAAAGAAAGAAGGCGTGGTTTCAGTAACCGCAGTTAGTGTTGAAGCAGCATGTCAGGGAGACGCTGTGTGTTTCTAGACGAAAGCAAAAGCACTTTATTTGGCCTTCCGGAAGTAGATGCATTTAGGAATCTTTAAGATTACTTACAACAGAACAGCAATGCATTTTATGGACGACCGTTTCGTGAAGCTAGGAGAGGAGGTCATTCTGTGCATCTGGCGCTTCTGAATCAGCTACTGTTTTGTTATTAGTTTAAATTGTTAAAAAAGCATCATATGACCCCTTTAATATTCCAAATCAGTTTTTATTTTGATCTTTTCCATTCTCATTTTAATTTTACTTAAAGTTTTAGTAATTTTGTTGTGTGTTTTTGTCATGTTTAGTCTATATAGTTTTATTCATTTTTATTTATGTTTTCGTTATTTACATCAAGTAAATTAAAATGACAAAAGTTGCCTTGGCAACTAGCTTAAATATATAGCTTAAGAAATAATTTACATATTTTATTTCAGTTAATGTTTATTATCTTTTTAAATATGAACTTTTACTTATAATAAGCCTGCAAACTCAAGAATTTAATTAGATGCTTAAAAATAAATGAGAAAATCATTTTGGATTTGGATTTTTAAAGTACATTGCACTTAAAAATACTTTGTGCTTCACTGGGTGCTGCAGTGGGTCATCATTGCAACTCATCTTTCCTTTCAAAACTCAAAAAAACTCCAAGAACTCTGCTTAATCTGACTGCTGAGAAAAGATCAGATACGCTATGATCAATACCAAGCATATGATCACAAACCCCAAGACAAGTATCATTTTATTATAATCTGGAGAAAGTGGATTCTTCTGTGCTCCTTCGCTCAGTCTCCTCTGCTCCTCTTCTTGAATCCAGATCTTCAGATCCTTCTGTTCTCGCTCTTCTCTTTCCTTTCTCTCTCTCCTCCTCCATCCGTCTTTCCTCCAGTCGTCCCATGTTCTCCAGCTCCGTCTGCAGAGATGCTGTGAACCGTCTCAGTCTTTCTGGAATCGGTCGCACACTCTGTTCTTCCTTCTTTATATCCGTCTCAATCTGATCAATCCTGCGTTGAATGCGTGTCCTCCTTCGTTCAGTTTCTTGTCTCTCTTCATTCATGTAGGAAGTAAACACACGCCAACGAACATCAGCCATTTTTCTGACCTGCCTCTTGAAATTCTTCTTTCTTTCAGCTGTTTCAGTTTCTCTTCTCTCTTCTATTATCTTCTGGGCTGTTTGCATTGCCTCTGTGACTTCATTAGTGAAGTGACGGTTCTCATTCATGACCAGAAGCTCGTCCACTTTCTTCAGGAGTCGACTTACTTGTTCTGGGTTTGTAGGGTTTGTGTTGTCAAAGGCCACGAAACGCCTCCCAAATCTCTTCACGAGGTCTTGAACTTTTCGATTTTGTCAAACGATGCAGACGGTCCCTTAGGATCCCTTCCCTTTGAGATCAATGTTTTTTGCACAGAGCAGAGGAACGCTTGTTTTGAGGAAATCTCGCTTGTAGCTCGTTTTCTACATCACTACGAAAGAAAAGAGGTGTCAATTCTGTAGTAGAAACGTTTTGCTCGTGATTTATTGATCCGGAAAAGTCGAATCTGTGAATATCTTTCCAACTTTACCGAATTAGTTTCTCGTCGTTGGACTGTTTATGATGGGCAGGACTTATGATGGGACTCTTTCGTTTACAGAAACGGAACTGGCCATGTTGACGCACGTGACGTACGCAACCTTCGTTGCTCGCAAAATGTTCCTTGACCGTATAAAATGACAAAGATAAATGCATTTGTATTTATTTATAATCATATTTAATGCAAGACATGCACATAAGAGTTTATTTATCAACTTTGAGCCTTATTAAATACACTAGAGGGACACGGATCCTGTGTCAGAAATGAACTGACGTCACTGATTATGTGCATACAGTTGATCACTGATTATTTACATATGAAGGAAATTTAGCAATTTATGGACAAGAATCAATGTGTGATGTCATGCAAATTATTTGTAAGCAGAGTTTGAGGAAACTGGAAATGTTTGGATGGGAAACAGAGGCACCACTGTCCAAAAAAAGCATAAGATGTGTTCATATCTCAGAAAGATGAAGGAAAATTACAGTAACACAATGTCATTTCAAGAAAACTGTTGGTACAGCATTGGTTTTTATTGCATTGAAGCAGTTTACACAGAAACATCTAACACAAAGTTTGAAGTGCAATTTAAACGTTCAAGTCAAAGTAAATGGTTTTGGGGAAAGTGCTGGTAAAAGTCAGTATAACAGAAATTCAGATCTTAAAACTGACTCATAAAACACCAAAATACTCCATCATTTAGTGCAATTTAAAACAACTTTAAAAACCTTACAGTTTGCATAAATAGGTCACATAAATACAGTAATCTTCAGTTCAGTACCTCACAGTGATATCAGTAACATTCTTCTTTTAAAAAAATATTTTCTCAAATTTTTAATATTCAAAAACAAAACAAAAACCCCAATTTTCTTCATGACTGGACATGTTTGTGCATTATTTCCCACTTGTTTAACTTAAGTTTTAAATAAATCACGTTTAAGATGTTTGGACACAATAAATACACATTAAAGCAGTGATACGATAATCAGTTTAAACTAGAATAACTTTGGCAATGACAGAAGCAGCAGTCAAATCTCTCCATTCATCACTCGGGTGTGTTTGATGGGAAAATGTTGCCTAAAACACTTTGTCCCTGGAATGTAAATCGTGGTCTGACTAGCGTTCATGTGTTTAGCGAGCGGCTGGCGGTCTGCGGTCACTGTTTTAGTGTCTGGTGGTTTCGCAGCTCATGCGGGAGACCATGGTGGAGACGAGTTTCTCCATCTGCTGCGCTCTCAGCTCGCCCGTCTGCAGAACCTCCTCGTGATTGGCTTTCTTCTCGCTGTCGTAATCCATCACCGCCTGATTGGTGATCAGAGACAGAGCCACGACCCTCATCCCACAGTGACGCGCCACGATCACCTCGTGAACCGTGCTCATGCCTTAAAAAACACACACACACAGGTTTGCTTTTATGGTTTATGGGGACTCTCCATAGGCGTAATGGTTTTTATACTGTACAAACTGTATATTCTATTGCCCTACACCAACCCTACCCCTAAACCTACCCCTCACAGGAGACTTTCTGC